AAAAAAAAAAACAAAAAAACGCCACTCCTTGGCTTCACCAGAACAACCCACTCTAGGGTTTTCCTATCTCGTAAGAAGCACAAAAGACTCAAGACAACCAGGGAGGAAAAATATTGGCCAATGTTGACCCAAACGAAAATATCTGGGCCACCTCGTCCATTCCTCCATGCCCAGGGGTCTAAATTCAGTTTAAACTGGCAAGACTGCAAACAGGAAAACAGATTGCAAGTACCTGCATCATGCAAAAGAGAACAAAGAAGCTTAATGTGGCACGGCTTGTTTTAATGCCATGGCAACTGTCGTGTCTTCTTGATTATTTAATTAGCTACCTCGAGTCAGGTTATTCTGCCCTCTCTCTCTCCTGCACTTCCGGCTGCCGGAACCGAATCAGGTCAGCCTGGATGTGTGAGCGTCTCTCCTGGCTGCCCCAGGTCTATTTGCAGCAGCGAGTCAGCGGCCCTGCATGAGCCAGCCGCTGGACCTCTGTGCTGTGCCTTTGATGTTGCTGGCTGTCCTTGTAGTCGCCACCCCCGCGTCCTCGACCCCCTCCTGCCCAGCCCCCAGCTTCTGCCCTGAAGTTAGCCGCTCCATTCTCGCTCAGTGACTCAGAAGGCAGGAGCTGTACCTCTCCTGAACACCCCTGACCCATCCCTGGCTAAAGTGAGGGCTCCTGGTCAGTGCCAGTGGGAAGGGACCGCCTTGGACTTGAGACATTCAATTTGTCAGAGTGGCCCTTAACTTTCCTTTTTTTCCTGTCCCCTGTCTGAGCTCTCATGCTCTACTTAGCTTTCCCGCCAGGAAAACGGCCCAGAAAAGCTTTGACCGTAGAACCCACGTGACCCAACCTCCTTATTACCGATGGGAAGACTAAGGCCCAGACAGCTTCTTCACTCAAGGGCTCAGAACCAGAACAGCCCAGGTGATGATTCAGTCCAACTAGCAGACTAGTGTGGGCACATGTGTGTGTGTCTGTTGGGGGGGTATTAAGGAATGGGCAATACTGAAATGGGACTTGATAAACCCTGGCACTGTGGCAAACACCTGTAATCACAGCACCTGGGAGGCCGAGACAAGAGGATCGCTCCAAATTTAGGGTCAGCCTGGGTTACATAGTGAGAACATGTCTCAAACGATCAAAGATAAGCAATAAACAGGAGCTCAGGAAGTCCATGATTATCTAAGAGTCTCTTCACTCAGTCTGTCCTGTGTCCTTGTTGGCAGTGCGAGCAAATGCTGCAAGCCAGAGCTGGGCACCAACCACAAGCTCTCGGGGAACCTGGCAATGCCCTGATGGGTCTCCCCACTGCTGACTGGAGGCTCCTCCCACCCAGGAACTTGAGGTGCTGCTAGGGTCCCCAGCCTCTCCCTGCAGACCAGGGTGCAGTCAGTGAAAAGTGAGCCCACGTTCACAGAGCACTCCAGGCGCTCAGCATGCACAGCCGAGAACTGACAGACTTGTTTTCCTTAAATGTAGGAAGATGCATAAAATACAAGAAGCTTGTGAAAATACACTTATTGCAAAAGTAACATCAGTCTGGTAAACAGATGAGTCTTGTTAGTTCTCCGTGGAGAGACATGGGTGGTAGAATGAATCAGATCAGATCAGATCAGCACTTTGCTTGTTGCAGCAGTGGAGGCACTGTGCCTCCTAAACTGAGCTGGGAACAACGGAAGATGCAGGCTAAGCCAGGGTAACCGGAAAGTCACTGCTCACTATGAACACACAAGCAAGTCCCACCTGGGGGCTGAGGCTGGACCCACCAACTGTTGATTGTTCCTGGCACACGGGCTGTCTGGAAGGCAGCAGCTGAGTCACGCTGCCACCCCACCTCCTCCCCAACACCCAGTACAAGTCCTGCTGCTACCGCTGTACCCTGTGTGATTAAGGGCTCCATCTCCCAGCCTGTGACCACACTGGTGGGGGCAGAGTACAGCAGGGCAAACGTGCGAAGCCTCAGGGAAAGGGGGTTTATGAAATGAGCTCTCAATAAAAGAAATGATGTGAAAGAATGCGGTGGAAGAGCTCAGAGCCTCTAGTAGGTGTGGGAAAGCAGCACAACTTCAAAATGCTCTTCAGACTTGGGTGAAAGCAAAGCACTTTGCCAAAACAGGCTGCAGCCTAAGCCTGGGAGAACAACAGCACTGTGTAGTGAAAACAGAATATTCCGCTCTGCAAAGTCAGCACCAGCGATGCTCGGCCCACATCTGGCACCAGGCATGCTGGTGGCTTTGGGGCTAGAAATAAGAATTGAGCTGTCTAGAGGAGGAGATGCTGAACTTGTGGGCAAAGATGCGTTTTGTTTGCTTGCTTGTTTGGGAGTTGTGTATCTGTGGTATTCAGAATCAAACCTGGGGTGCTCTACCACTGGTCACCCCAAACCCTTTTTACAAATTAATTTATTAATTAATTATTGGCACTGGGGATTGAACTCAAGGCCTTTGCACTGAGTTACATCCCCAGCCCTGCCGCCCGCAAACAGTGTCTCCCAGAGCTGCAGTTATAAGCATGTGCCACCATGCCTAATTTTATTTTTTATTTTGAGGCAGAATCTCTATATGTTGCCCAGGCTGGCCTTGACTTTTTGATTCTCCTGCCTCAGCTCCCGAGTATCTGAGATGAGAGGCATGTGCAATTATGTTTCAGGGGTACCCTAAAACATTTTGCATGAGCTTCAAATGGTTACAAAAACAAACAAACAACAACAACAAAAAAAAAAAACAGGAGACATGTGATTGTCCCAGCTGTGGCCTGCATGCTGGGCAGATCTGGGGAAAGTTCTTAAACAGCTTTCCTCCAGCTGACTGCCTAGAAGCCCTGCAGGTGCTGCAGAGGCCTGCTCCAGTGATGGGGCTGTATGCTAGGTCACAAGCATTCTCAAAGCACCTCATGGAAAGTTTTGGGTGGTGCAGTGCAGGCTGGGAAAATCTCAACAGAGTAAGGGGACAGTTGCACATCATCTTGTGTAGCATTGCCAGATATGGTGGTGCATATCTATAATCCCAGCACCAGGGAGGCTGAGGCAGGAGGATCACCACAAGTTTGAGGGCACCCTGTAATACACATTGAGACCCTATCTCAAAAAAAACACAAATAATAATAATAATAAAGCTAGAGCAAAAATGAGGGACATAGGCCTTCTCTCTCATACACCCAGGCATACACCCACCTGGGTCTCGCCCACACCATCCCTCTTCTACATCATCCCATGAGGGTAAAGGAATAAATTATATGTTTCTTCCTTCAGCTTTTCGCATTTTTTTTTCCCCTGCCACTAAACTAAAAAGTAGGAAAAATGATATCTGGTATGTTTTCGTGCCTTAGTATAATCAGCAAGGAAAGTGATGTTACGTAAAAGGGGAAATTGTGAAAAAAATACAATTCAAGCTCAATAAAAGATGGCTCTTTAAAAAAAAACCCAGTAAGACCCTGTTTCTGGGGCTCAGGTCTGGACACATTATCTCTGGAAGTGGCTTCACCTTCTCTGTGGAGCCTGGGCCAGGGGTCTGCCCTGGAGAGGCTTCGAGGAAGTCATCTACACAGGAAGACTGCGGGGCTCTGACTAAGCCAGGGATCTGGTCCAGTCCCCAGGATCTAGCCTGAGCCAGGGGATCCTAGTAAGGTCTAAACTCAGCTAAATGTCCTCAGAGAAACCGAGCCCAAGAACTCACACCGATGTAGCCGCGCCCCTAGTGTCCAGGAGGAGGAACTCGGGCTAGCACCGGGCCTCCGCGGGCAGCCTCCCAGGTGAGTGACCCCACATTCACCAAGTCCTTCGCCCCGGACGAGGAGCTTCCCGTCTTTCTAACACGGTCAAAAGGGGCTGAAATGTCTGACCGTGTGTGGGACTCATGTCCCTAGCATTCATTGTCCTCTTTTTTACCAAGGGAAAAAAAAAAAAAAAAAAACCTTAATTTTTTTTTTTAAAAGCCATCAATACTCGATTTTAACAAACAAAACCTAAGCACAGAGGCAAAAACAAAGAGGGGTCTCCGGGTGCTGCTGGAAATATTTTGAAATCCCCGAGGTCGCATTCACTGTCAGAAAACAAAGTGAAACAACCCTCTGTGCCCCGCCGCGGCCCTCGCCTCCCCGCAGGGCCCGTTCTGGGCACCGGCCCGGGGCCGCCCGGCAGTCCCGCCGTGTGCACCCGCAGCCACTCAGCCCGCTCTCCGCGGCCACCTTCCCCGCCACCTGTGAGCGGCAGCGCCATGACACTGTAAGCGGCTGGGCCGGGAACCAGGAGCAGCCAGTGGTTTTCTCCATGGCAGCTCGGCTGAATCCGTGAAGAGGCTGGCACTCGGGAAGCAGGGTGACAGCGGGGACGTCACCCTACAGGACTGGAGGCGCGAGCAGGAGGCGCGCGGACCAGGCTCCTTCCCCGTCAGCTCCCCTCACGGCCGCCGCGCGAGGAACCTGCCCAGCCCCGGCGCGCCCGGCAGATTCTGGCCTCACAAAGAGCCCGCTGCCGTTTGCACTGGATGCTTTTCAGCATCGCGCGAGGGCCCGGACTCGGGACTGCCCCAGGGAGGGTCCCGTAGTCGGGCGGATCGGCGCCCCCTGGCGTCCCGGAGCCCGGCTCGCGGGGGTGACGCGCGCCTCACGGCCACCTGCGCTCCCTGCGCTCCGCCCTCGTGCCGCCGCGGTTGGTGGCCGGGAGCCGAGGGGCGAGGGCGAGCGAAGCCGAGGCTCCGGAGCGGCAGGAGGGCTTCCTAGGCTTCCTTGGCTTTCCTGGAGCGTTGGCAGCTGCCCCGGGTGGGGGTGGGGACGCTGGCGGACTGGCGAGTCGCCCACTGCGCGGCTGCGGGTCGGGCGCTCCGAGCCCCCCGCGGTCCCGAGCGCCGTGCGCGCCCGCCGGCTGGCAAGGAACGCGGAGACACAGGGACACGGGGACGCGGGGCGAGGGCGGCCCCGGGGCGCCTTCCGTTTTAAGGAGCCGCACTTCTGGGAAGGGACAGGGAACTGTCAATCAGCGAGGGAGGGAACGCACCGGCGCGGGGTGATGTCAGCGGATCAGCTGCTCGATAACAAAGAGGGGGGATTCCGGGAGAAAGTTGCTGCGGCCACGGCGACACCCCAGAGCCACGGAGGCGAGGGGCACGGGGACCAAAGGAGGGGACTCGACCGCTGCGACAGCGCCTGGAGGCCGAGGCATTGAAAGAGCCGCAGGGGGAGGCACTGCGAGCCAGCCCGGCTGCTCCTCCTCTTCCTCCTCCTCCTCCTCCAAACTCGCAGGGCTCGGCCCCAGCGCTCGCTCAGCCGCCGGAGCGCCGGGAGGGACGGGAGGCAGCGCGCGGCCCGCGCCGACCAGGGTCCCCAGCCGCCATGGATAGCGACGACGAGATCGTGGAGGAGGCTGTGGAAGGTACGCGCGTTCCTCCGGGGCCAGGGGCGCGGGAGGAAGGAAGGAGATGCGGGTTGCGCGCCGCGCGGGGTCGAGCCCCAGAGCGCCACTGTCCCCTGCGCCAGGGGCCGCCGACGGGCTCGCGGGAGGACCAGACGGCCACGGCCACGCCGCCGGGAGCGCGCGGCGCGCAGGCCGGAGATGGAGCCCTGGGGACGCGCGGCTGCAGCTCAGTCCCGCCAGGCCGCCGCCTGCAGCCTCCGGAGTCGCGGGCCTGCCCGGCTTCCCGGCCTTTCTGCGGGCGGAGAAGGGGGCGTCCGGGAGCACTGGCCCCCTGGGGGCCGCCTCGGCGGGGCAACCCTCCAGCCCGGGTTTAGCAACCTCGTTCTTCTCTCCAGCCACCAGCCCTCTCCTTGCGCTCGCCGACGGGTCCTGCTGCCACCGTGGCCTCGTCCGAGGCTGTCCCTCGGGCAGAGCGCGAGGGGCTGGACGGGGCACGTGGCAACCGCGACCGCTCTGCCCCAAGAAAATGAAATTGCAGGGCTAGGGACCACGCACGGGTCGGGGACGCGGTGGCCCTGCTCTACGCTGCCGGGGCGAGTCCGCCCCCTGCCCCCTCCCCTGCGGCCTCCGTGCCGAGTGCAGTGCAGGCGCGCAGCGAGCCCGGCCGGAATCGCGGTGACACTCAACTTTGTGAATTCCATGCTGCTGGCAGCGGTGATCTCACCGCCTCGGCGTCCTGTTTCTCCGCCCCTTCTCCCCTGGCGTCCCTCCCCCAGCTGTTCTGGCCACTTTATTTTGCTGAGTTTCTGCACTTCTCCCCCTACTTCTTTTTTTTTTTTTTTTCCTAGTTATGAAAAATGCTGTGGGGACGTTATACAATCTCGTTGTTTGTACCCTGGGATGTTATGATTTTGTAACAGCGAATACTGGCAAATAACTCTGGCGTATTTATTTACTTGATTCTACTCCAGACAGTGCGTCGTGATATTTTGCAATGTTGTGTGGTTATTATTCCAGAATATTTTGAACCGAGCATCGCAGTAAATAATTTTTAGTTGTCGGTTGAACTTGGTTTCCATCTAATTTATATAAACAAGTTCTCACAAACGACAAAGGAAAAATAAAGTGGCAATGCTTTACAAATGCATAAGAATGCGTCGCTAGTGCTCCATTGGGAGGAATCAGTTTTCATGTTTCCATAAACATAACTCCTTCTGCGTGCTCCTGAAGCCTTAAGGCAACGTAAAGCAGAATAAGATTTCTGGCATTCTCTAAAAAGGATCCAATCTAACGTAAACATAAAACTATATTTCTTCATCTAGTTCCAAAGCCAATTAGAAAGTGTGTATTTTAACTTCAGAAGATCTTCACTATGTTTTGAGCTCACAGAGCTGTATCTATAACAAGCAAATTCGGTGTTAGATTTAAGAGGGGCTGAAAATAATGGTAGAGTTGGTCCACAGGGAGCACTTGAATTTAAAAATTACTGATTTTTTGTGCCTCCCTGTTGTGAAAGAAAAAAAAGTGCTCTTCTGAAATTGTTAGACTTTGCTTCCATTCCTCAAAGTTTGCTTTAACTTGCAAAAAAAATTAATACAGCAAAAATTTCATGCAAACCATGGGTTACACACTTGCCAGATTTAAACCACCTTCCCCTGTGAAACAGTTTAGCAGCATAAGGTCCCATTTCCCATGATCCTTGGGCTTTCTGCAGAAAGTGAACTAGAGCTTTAGAAAGCTCTCTGTTGTTTCTGAGATTAGATTAGAAACAGGGACATTTCTTTATATAGTTATATAGGGTGAATATATTTAAATAAGAACTCTTGTGAGCACAAAGGGGCACTATTAATAATTATGCTAGGACAACTGGCTTCAGCCTTGAATATCTTGGGCAGTCTGGGATACACACTCAGTTGTACCTAATCTTATAAAATTAAACTTTTAATTTTTATGTACCTAGTGGTACCAGGGAGAGAACCCAGGGCCTTTCACTGAGCAAAAGCTTTACCCTGAAATGCCCCTTCAGCCCTAGAATAACTTTTCCTCTTTAAGAGTCTTTAGAACCCCGAAGCATGGTGGCACAAGCCTGTAGTCCCAGCAACTTGAGAGGCTGGGCAGGAGGATCCCTTGAACCCAGGAGTCCGGGCCAGCCTGGGTGACATAGCAAAAGACCTTGCCTCAAAAAAGAAAAACCCTTGGAGGCACCTCAGGCTCAGACACACACGGTGCCTAGAGCACATGCGTGCGTGCAGTAAATTGCACCCGTGGGTGTTTCTCTCGTGCTTCTCAGCCTGTTCACCGCTCACGCAGTGGTCTTTGTTTAACATCTAACACACAGTGGTACAAGCCGCTGATGCTCTCTTCCCAAAGAGACACAAGCCTGGATGTGCTGGTGTGTGAGTGCCAGCTAACCCACCTCTCTCCGCAGATGCAGCCTCTCTTCTCAGTGGTTTCATTGTCACAGCCATTATTCTCCTCACTGTAATCCCTCAGCTGCTATTATGTGCAGTTTCTGTGCTACAGAAGTGTTTCAAAGACATTCAGCCTTATGGGGTGGGTACTAATATTAACCTAATCTTCTGCAGAGATGACATATAGAGGAATTCAAAACTAATCCAAAAGCAAGTTATCTCGGAGGGAGACTGGGTGGACATTCAGACCACCCCCCTGCCATGCTAAATTGTGCTATCTTTTTAATTTTTGATGAGTCAGTCAAGTATGAGAAATACTTGGTGACCGAGTTGAGAAGTATTACGTTGGCACCATCCTTTATCATCAGGATCAGAATCAGTGTGATGCTTCACAGGCTGTTTCTGATAGAGTTCAGTGTCTTCCACAAAAAGGCATTTGAGGACAGAGAATTCAACATTCAGCCTCTACAACAGGCTTAGTTTTTTCTTTTTCTTTTTTCTTTTTTTTTTTTTTTTTTTCCTTATTAGAAACTTACATAATCCAGGCGCTCAGGAGGCTGATGCAGGGGGATTACTGCAAGTTTGAGGCCAGGCTGGGCTATACTACAAAGGGAGTTCAAGGCCAGCCTGAACTGCATAGTGAAACCCTGCCTTAAAAAGAAAATGAAAGCCAGGGATGTAGCTCGGTGGCACAAGCGCCTGCCTGGCAAACACAAGGTCCTGAGTTAGATTCCCGGTTAAAAAATAAAAATTTAAAAAAAAAAAAAAAAAAACGGAAGAAATAAAGAAATTTACACTGGGGAAGCTTCAGATTTAAATTCAAATTTAAATCCTTTGAACCTGATAGACTGTGTGTGTTAGCTCTCTGACAGGGCAGAATTGTAAACTCAGGGTAGATGAATTCTAGGGGGGGATGTGGGGACAAGAGAGGGTGTGTCAGGAGGTTAGAGCCTATAGACCTGTGTTTGCTTCTGCTCCTTTGGGGAGGCAGTAAAAAGGCCCTGGGCCACAGAGGGCCTGAAACTCCACCGGAGCCCTTCCTACTGGTCTCTCTTTCTTTTCTTTTCTTTTCTTTTTTTTTTTTTCCTATCTGCCTTTCTTACTTTGAGATAGATTTTCACCATGTCATCCAGGCTGGCTTGGAAGCCTTGGGCTCAAGCAATCTTCCTGCCTCCTGAGAAGCTAGGACTGCAGGTGTCTGTCCCACCTCAACTCACTGTGACTTCTTCTTCTTATTATTATTATCATTTTGGTGGGCTAGAACACTCTAGGACATTACTTTACTTAGACATCTACTAAGTCCATTTGCTCAAAAGTTTGATTTAATCCTAATATTTCATTGCTGATATTTTCACTGTGGCTTTTTAAAAACAGTCTGAGGGGCCAGGCATTGTGGTGCACACCTGTAATCCCAGCACTTGGGAGGCTGAGGCAGGAAGATCACTATGAGTTCAGGACCAGCCTAGGCTGTATAGTGAGTTCAGGGCTATGAACTGCATAGCAAACCTCGGTTTCAGACAAACAAACAGGCAGTCTGAGGTTTGTGGTTTGGTGGAAAGTAATGTTTAGTTTCCAGTGTTATTCTTCAGGGCCTTTGGAAACAGACATATTTACTACTATGTCTGTTTCTTTGCCTATTCACTGATACGTAGATAAATAAAAGTAGTCCCTGATATCAGTTCAAATAAATACATCGTGTCTACATAGATGAGTTGCGTTGTCTGAGAAAAAGTGACATTTACTTGCTGGCTGGGGAAGTGGGTGGGAGGAGAGTGTCCAGAGGAGGCAGCAGAGTTGAGGTAAGAGGAGATTTGGGGGGACAGAGGTGGCGTTTCCAAGCACTCCAGAGAATGCCCTTCAGTTCTGCGGGGCGCAGGCTTCGAGGAGGGCGTCAGACATGGAGGCTGAGAGCCAGAGCCATTGAGGGCCGAGGCAGTCACCTCCACCGTGCAGCCAAACCCCAGTGCAGTGAGGAGGGCAGCCTGGAAGCTTAGAGGACAGAGCACCCCGAAAGGGGAAGTCTCAGAATCCCCAGAACAAGGGGCCAGGACCGAAAGAACAGTTCGGTGTTCCTGTGCTCAAACCTCTCAAAACAGAGCATTCCTACCAACAGCCCCCCAGCCTGCAGTCTATAACCCGACCTACACAGGCTCCGTGCACGGTGGCGGCTGCCCATGTGCACTGCGTAATAAAATCACGACCCTCACCAACTAGAGCCAACCCTTGCAAAGAACTGTCCTTAAAAGTCAGGTGAGCCTGCTGACAACAAGAGTGAATGTAGCACAATTCTCTGCTTGCCTTTTGTCACAACTTTTCAGGGGGCGCGTCCGGACCTGCAAATCCCACAGCTTGAGAAGGGAGAAGGGAGAAGGGGCTCTGGCTTGAGGGAAACACGCACAGGCTCCCAGGTCGCTGGCGAGGAAGCCAGGCAGCGAGCACCAGGTGTCTGATCCCGAGGGAATTTCCTGTCGCACAGAACGCAGGCCTGGCTGGCATCGCCTGGGAGGGAAAAATCTCGCCCAGAAGTAACTCAAGGGGAAAATGTAGCTTTCCATCCACTGGGTAGATACCGATCTTTATGACAAAGTGCAAAAGTAGACTTGTGAAACTGTTGCTTTTTCCTTTTGCTTTCTGTGCAAGCAAATATGTGGTCAGATGCAGCTGCAGGGCGTTGCAAACACAGGCTCCGTTGAAATCCGTCCTGGCGCTGGCCCGTCTGAGGATGGGCCGGGAGGCTGTCGCCTGGCTTGGCGCACTCTGCACGCTGACCTCAATCGGAGCTGGGAGGACTGGTGTTTCTCTTTGAGTTAGGTAACGCTGGCAAGGGGCAGCAATTTGCAACCAGGATATGCTGCTGAAAAAATCTTGGCAGTCCTGAGAGGATTTTCTCAGCCACAAAGTTGTCTTCCATGTCTGCGAGAGACCTGCAAAATCCTGTCCTTTCCAGGGTCCTCCTCCTACTCCCAGCAATAAAGCAAGGCCGCTCGCCCTCCTCTAGAGGGAAAGCAGAAGGATTTAGGGGAGGGGCTGGCAGCAGACATCCGCGCATGCGCGCTTCACCTCGCCTGGCCCTGGGGACTTCCTCTGTAAAATGGAAATTTGGGAGACTATTATGAGATTTAAACTTGATAACAGGAAAGCACTTCACCCAGAGCCACGATTTTTTTCTTTTCTTCTGGGTATCAATATGCCTCTCCATTAAATTGCCTGTTTCTGCTGGGCTGAGTGGTGCATGCCTGTAAATCTCAGCACTGGAGAGGCTGAGGCAGGAGGACCACTTTGAGTTCAAGGCCAGCCTGGCCTACATAAAGAGACCCTGTCTCGAAAAACAAAAGAAAACAACAGTAACAAGGAAAAAAAATTCCAAAATTAAAAAATAATTAAATCGCCTATTACTACTGTGATACAGTATCCTGTGACCTTATTGTCCAAATGGCATTTGAATAAGCGTTCTGTGGGAAAGAGATGAGGGGCAAAGCGATCTCCTCTCTTCCCACCGTTGGTTTCTTTGTGGTGACCAGTTTGGGTATGGCCCGGTCTTTTAGATGTAAACTTCTGTTTGGAAAACTACTCTGGACTATCAAGTATACAGAGTGGAAATCCTGAATGATCAAAACCCCAATTTCTCGTTCATTTAATTGAGCACATCCTAAGGACCCAGAGACAGCAAAACAAAGCCATGGTCTAATGGAACTTACAGCTCTCACAGGCAGCCTGACAAGCTCAAGAGTGGCAGGCAGGGGCTGGGGCTTCGGCCTGGCCCAGGCGGAGCACCGCCTTACCTGTGTAAGGTCGTGGGTTTCATCCCCAGCGCGGCGGGAGGGGGAGGCTTTCCGTGTGAAGGGAATCGTTAGTACTGCAAACATGTACTAGGAAAAAATGTAAAATTTTTTAAATGTCAGGAAAAGGCCACATCAACTTTGCCAGCTGCATGCTGGGCAGGCTGTCTCCCCCTGAAAGAAAAACAAGCAAAAAAAAAAAAAAAAAAAAAAAAAGGAGGGGGAGGAAAAACAAAAAAAAGGCATTGAAACAGGTAGCCCTCATGGAACAGAAGGTTGAGATTTTTGTCGCGCCCTCAGTTGGAATCACCGCGAGCTTTCAGCATGTTATTTACACCTCACCGGTTCTCTAATATGAATCTCCGCTCTACGGTCCCTTCTCTGATTTATTCAGAAACAGGACAGGGTGGAGATGGAGTGAATTTACATTGCAACTTTTTTTCCTTTCGTGTGTATGGTTACCATAATGTTTCTCTTGGTATAAAATGAAACAAAATCTATCACTACAAAAAAAGAAATAAAATCTATTAACATTAAGTTTTTAAAGTTTGAAATCATGAGCTGTTTTTTATGAGGAAAGCATTTTCAATGACTTAATGTATACTCTTCTATGAGGCTAACCTGATTGTTCTGATATTTGTACTTACATCAAAAGTAGGACGCTAAATCTATAGGAATGTTAGTGGCTAAATTTAATTTGATCCCAATAACATTTCGTAAAAGAAAGCTTTTAGCTATACATGGCATGGCTTCTTTTTCAAGGAGAAAATGTCACCAGTAGATATTTGGTAAATAATGGTCCAAATTATTTAATATAATTCAGGAGTCACTGAATTACGTCATGTACCATTGGCTTTTGTATGAAAAGGAAGCAATGAGAGCCTAGTTTCTAATTATTAATTTCCTGTAGAAAAAGTTTGCATTCAGAAAAAAAGAATGATCCAGATGGTGAAGTATTTAAGCATTCATGTCTTATTGCACCATTTGTAAGATAACCCATTCTGTGGGGAGTCAGAGGTAGCAACAGAATATTATATTGCTATTATATTATTTTTCTAATCAATGATACAAATAAAAAGTATATTAATTCTCTGTAAGAGCGTTCACTATCTATTCCACATAGTAATACTTTTTCTTTCTTTCTTTGTTTTTCTTTTGTTTTCCAAAGTGCAAGGAATGGAACTCAGGGCCTTACACTTTCGTCCTGTTAGACAAAATCGTTTTCGGAGATGAAAGCCTTCATCATGGTGATGTGGCCTGTGTTTTCTTTTATGCCCGAGAGCCCTCTGGAAGCCACATTTTAAGTGTTTAATGTGCCTGCACTGCACAGTGTTTAATGTTTTCATTCCTTTTGCATCCATGACCCAGGGGTTAACCCGAGAAAAAGCCAGCAGAGTAATTGCTAGTTTTGTTTTCACCCATCTCTGCAAAATGAGTTTACCAAAATGATCGGGCAGTCACCAGAGGGGTGACTCCTGGGTTTGTGCAGTATGTGGAGAGTAATAGGGAACCAAAACAATGATGGAAACTCATACAATACAGCATAGTCTGTGACCCAGGAGGAACCAGCAATTGAAAGATGAGGGTAATGACTCCTGCCCAAGTTCAGGATCGCTACTTAAGTGGCTACAGGGACACTTCTGTCTCCATTTAAAATAGACCTCCCTGACATGCAATGGTATATGATAAGGTTCCTGCTGAACAATTTTGCAGAGTAAAACAGTAAGATTAAGCTTAAATTTAAGCTGAGAAGGACTCTAGGTCGGTGAAAAGTATTAATATTATGACACTATTGGCGGCATGGCTCTGGCCCTCACTGTCTGATGTGACAGGTGACTGTGGGGTTTTCAGATTGCCTACCAGCCTCGTGCTACTGTAGACGATACACAGAATCATACCGCATGCTCGCAACATGCAAGAGTTAACTACTGTAATCCACTAACAGAGAGCAGGCAAAGACCACAACTGTACACCCCAAAGCCCAGTTCCATACGTGGAGGATGTTCATCCAAGTAGGAAAAGTGCTAGGTGGGGAAGTACTCAGTAAGTTTTAATCATTGCTGCAGATAGTACCAGCAATATCCCCCAGTCCCAGGTAAAACACAAGCCTATTTCTATCTCCGGTTCCAAAACTTGTCTGTGCCCGTCTGTGTAGCCGCATTAGTGCACAATCCGTGTAACAATCAAGTGTGTCATCGGAACAGGCAGGGTGAGAAAACTTTAAGCATTTGGTGGCCTTGGGCCAGAGAAGGGGCCCTTTGGTGACCAGCGGAGGAGCTGGCCCCTGTTAAGGTTCACTGTGGTTCACTCCTAGGGCACCTGGACGAGGATGGATTACCGCACGGGTTCTGCACGGTCACCTACTCCTCGACAGACAGATTTGAGGGCAGCTTCATTCATGGAGAGAAGAACGGTCGCGGGAAGTTCTTCTTCTTCGATGGCAGGTAGGATCCGCTGCTTTCTCCGGTTCTGTTGGGGGGGGCACTATTTCATCTGAGGGAACAAGATAAATCAAGGAAGTCAAGTGGAGGTTTTTGTGCAATTTATTAAAAAAAAAAACTATGTATGGTCCCTGAAGCATGTACTGCTTTGGTGACAGGGAGGGGACCCCAGTGACACCAGGAAGGCAGCCCGAGGTGTGCTGAGCACAGTGCATGCTGGTCTAAGCGATGCTCTGCTGGGTCAGACTGGGAGAGGCAGGGCTAGCACCAATCCATAGCCAGTCCTGGAGGAAGCTGACCTGGTCACTCAAGTGATGCGTGCCCCTGGTGAAGCCACGCAAAGCGGGGTCATTTGTTGGTGACCAGTTTGTTCAGTGCCAGTAGCAACTGATGCACTCTTCCAAGCGTAGGGGGTTACACTCCACTGCACTTGGCCCACTGGCACGTGCTGACTTTTTTGTAGCCTGAGTAAAGCTGGGGCCACTGAGTCGACGCTTCAGCCTCATCCTGTACCAGGTCAGTGAATCGAGACAGGCAAGAAGCAGCACTTCCAGAAAGGAAATCTGCCGTTGCCTCGGGGCAAGGGTTGCCCTTGGACAGTGAAGAGCTTCTAAGAGAAAGTCGTCCAGGTGTCCAGCAGGTACCCACAGCAGGAAAAAAAAGAAGAAGGAAAATACTGGGCCAGATTAAAATTCATAGCTTGTAAGCAAAGTTCTGCTAAAAAAAATATGGGATGAAGAGTCAATGTGGGAAATATGGTTAGAATTCATAATCTAAAGAAAACTTTATAAAAGTTTTTTTTTCTGGAAAAGTATTGCTTCCTGCCTCAAGCTGCAATTATTCCTTTATTTCTTGAACAATATGTACATGTAAAATGTCTTATTTCAAGCATGGGCATGGTGCTGCATCAGGAGGATGTAATCCCAACATCAGGAGGCTGAGACAGGAGGATTGCTGATAGTTCAAGACCAACCTGGACTACATATCCAGACCCTGTCTCAACAAAAAAAATAAGTGTTGTTTCCCCCTTTGTATTCAAGAACTGAATCTTTAACTATTACATCTATTATGCTTCATAGCACTTTCCTTTAATTTGATACTAAAATAATAAAGTTCTCATTGAATTGGTAGAGATACTGGGAAAGAGGGTAGGATTCACCCAGAACACTCCACACGCACATGCACACGCACACGCGCACACACACACGCACGCACTCATGGCCCAGCAGGGTTCCATCTGGTGCTGGGTACCTTTTGCTCTACAGACCTGACCCACAAATATTAATGGTTCCACAGCATTTCCCAAGCTGGGTGAAAAAATCAGCAACATGTGATCCAAGGGACTGACCCGGCTGCCCTGCGGTGTCCTGAGACCTGAGTGGCTCCCGCTTCAGTCGAGCTTGCCCGCTGGCCCCAGGCCACCCCCTCCGTGTCCACAGTAGGGCCACACAAATGCGCTCATTCAAGGAAGTCAAGACACAGATGAGCCGAGGCGGCAGGCTGGATTCCACGCCCAGTAACCAGAGGCCAGAAACAAGTCCATTGGCTTCTTCCCCTTTTTTAAAGAGGCATCGGTTTACTACTTTCGATGCCTGTCGTGCCAACAGCTGTAGAGACAGAGGTCAAATAGTAGCCTCCAGGGAAGGCTGGGTGGAGGGGATCTTCGGGGTCACCTGGTTGGTTTTCAGTTATAGGCAGGGGTGCCTCAGGGTGAGACGGTCACTGTGGTTGCTTTTATTACACAGGATGAGTAGTTCGGTGATTGACATCTCTCATTGGCCCAATACCATGTTGCAGGGACATCTGCTCAAAGAATTTGTGTAAAAATTAGTGAGAGGGTCTTATGGCTAGGAATAAAAGGTCTCTGTTTAGTTCTTTCTAATAGGAATGTGGTAAAGGTAATTTTTGGGTTTTGGTTCTTTTTTTAATAGGACACAGAGCCTGTTATTTAATTTGTCTTTTCTTTTTTTCTTGCCATGTAGTTCAGGCTGGCCTTGAGTTCACTGTAGCTCAAACTGGCTCTGACTTTGTGGTGATCCTCCTGCCTCAGCCTCCCAAGTGCTGGGATTACAGGTGTGCATCCCCACACCAAGCAATTTGTTAATAGACAAATTTTTCTTCCACATTACTGCCTGATGTGTTGGGTATAATTAACTGGGAACCTTGTGCCTTCGATGTTGGACTGCTATCTTTGGTCTGGAAAAAATTCCCTCCGAAACTCTGAAATCAAGGTCTTAAAATAAAAGTGTAGAAAATAAATAAATAAGTAAATGAAACAAAAGTGTAGAAACTGAAGCTTTGATAAGGAAAGTCGCTTAACCCTGCAGTTCTGGTTTGTATTCCCACCAAAGGACAAGTTCAAAAATGCTGGAACCCATGTTTGGAAAAAAGAAAACTAGGGGGCCAGGGACTTAGCTCAGCAGCAAAGTGCCTGCCTGGCAAGCGCAAGGTCATGAGTTCAACTCCTCGGGACACCCCTTCTCCCCCCCCCCCAAAAAAAGGAAAACCACAAAATGTGGTAACAGGAGGTTCCATCTGGTGCATTCTAATCCCAGGTTAAACCTGTATCCCAGTGTGTGATTTAAGAGAAGCATTCAAACAAATAAGAAGTATTACAAGGAAATTCTGCAATCAGGTTTTTACCTTGACATGCAAAATGATAAACCTGAATAGAATGTGAAATATTCAGGCTACCAGGAAATTGGCCCTGTTACATTGTGCAAGCAAGCTCCTAGACAGAAGCAGAATATTTCACTTTGTTTTTAAACTGCAAGTGTAGCAAGCAGCTTGGTAGAATGAAAAGCAACACGAAATACACCAATATTAAAAAGTGAACCGTGTCTCCCCACCCCCACCCCAGTCCTAGGAATAGAACCAGGGCCTCCACAGCCAGGGGAAAGTGCGGAAACGGTGACTGCCAGTGTCAGCAGCCAGCATGGCCACGGTCCCCCTGTGCTCTGTGTCTTGGCTACACGCGGTTTGCAGTGTGTAACCGAGACCTGCTCTCACCTTCGGTTCATGACAGACTGTGGAACAGAAGAGCCGAGCTCCTGAACTACCTTTACTTATTGGGAAACCTGAAGTCGGCCACTCCTCCTTCTTGTCTCTTCCCACAAAGGAGGAAGGAATGGGAAAATTAGCCTTATTTTTAAAGTCATGTTTTCGGGCAGCTGTTATTTTCCATTTTCATCCTTCCACAAGGAAAGAAGAAAATTGCCCGCACATTACATACTTGAGATTTCTTAGCAAATCTCAAGCAGAAAGTTGTCATAAAACTTTTTTGAGGGTGGAGGTGGTATTTATTTGTTTATTTGAGACAAGGTCTCGTTGTGTAGTTTAGCCTGGTCTTGAGTTCAGTTTGTAGCTGCAGCTGGTTTCAAACTCATAGAGATCCTCCTGCCTCAGCCTCCCAAGTGCTGGGCTTCTAGGCATGCACCACCACTTCCCACTCTCTGTATTTAAGAAAGCAAAACTGAATTCGCTAATTACTCTTCCGTGTGTTACTATTCTTTTGAGCCTTTGTAATAGATTGTCTAGGAAAGTAAATCTCTTACAAGGTGGAAAAACTCTGAAGAGTGTGCACGGAAGTCTGTGTCATTCCACCCAGCCAACTAATCGTACCCCACAAGAAGCTGAAGTTCTGCTTGGACACAGTGTTAGCAGATGGGTTGGGTCTTGTTACTCAGTCTGTAATATTTTATGTGACATTTGACAAAGGAAGGGAACAAACTTGAGAAAGGGGCAGGGATTTGGGTCTGTAAGAAACAAAGCCCATTGTAATCTCATTCATCAGGAGGCTGAAGCAGGAGGATCTCCTCAAGTTCAAGGGCACCCTTGACTACATAATGAGTTTGAGGCTGGTCTGAACTTCATGGCAACAGCCTCTCAAAAAACTGAGAGAGAGAGAGAGAGAGAGAGAGAGAAAGAGAGAGAGAGAGAGAGAGAGCGAGCGAGAGAGAGCCCAAAACTCTGTGACTTCCCATACTATGACGAAAAGGCAACACTATTAAAGCCTAAGAACTTCTGTATATTGAAATACTGAAGAGAATTTTTCAATTAAAATACACTAATATTTGAATAAGATGCAAGTGTATCAGTTTAGGTAAATAATTATAAAAATTTCTCCATTTTTCTCTAAGGTAGATGTTCTAATTTAGTGTATTTTAAGTTTAAGTGCTTTGTTAAGACAATGGTCTTAAAGTAAAAGGTAAAAAATGATCTGTTTATTAAAACTAATGTTTTAATTTCCCCTAAGTTTTCCACTTTTTTAATTTAGGTGCTGGTGGCAGAAAAACAATTGATAGACCAGTTTTGCAATTTCTTAAAATACTAAAAAATCTGATAAGATATTGAAAGAGACTTTAAAAAAATACAAGAACATTGTATTGTATGTAGTAATGATCCCATTTTTTATTAAAACAACAAAAAGAAGGTGGGAGATATAGGTCTGGGGGGGGAGTCTTAAATGCTATATACCAGCTCGACTAAGCTTGGTAGTCCTTGATTTAGTTTTGATTTGTTCTACAGTAAAGACATTTGTATTAGTTTTCCTCTGGTGGGACCAACTACCTGACACCCAAAGCTTAAAGGAGGAAAAGTTTATTTTAGTTCGTGGTTTTGGAGGGTTCAGTCCATGATCTGGGGGCTTCAAGGCAGAAATATCATGGCGGCAAAGGAAAGCTGCCCACCCCATGGTATAGGAAACAGAGGTTAGAAATAGCCCAAGAAGAAACACACCCTTTCAGAGCCGATCACCAGTGACCCTCCTCCTGCAATGGGGTCCCCTTTCCTAACTGTTTATTCCGCCAGCCACCAGCCTCATCAGAAGACTGGTTTCTCTCATGGTCCAGTCACCACTGAACATTGCTGCATTGGGGGTCAAATCCTCAGTACATGAGGATTCGGGGGTCACCTCATATTTATAACTCACAGTTCCTTTTTTTGAAACTTGTTGGTTCCATCCTTTTCTCTGATTCAGCTGGTTTGTTCGCCATTTCTTACAG